GTGTGTGTGTGTGTGTGTGTGTGTGTGTGTGTGTGTGTGTGTGTGTGTGTGTGTGTGTGTGTGTGTGTGTGTGTGTGTGTGTGTGTGTGTGTGTGTGTGTGTGTGTGTGTGTGTGTGTGTGTGTGTGTGTGTGTGTGTGTGTGTGTGTGTGTGTGTGTGTGTGCGTGTGTGTGTGTGCCGCAAATATTGGACCCACGTTTATTGTTTAACAGTCTGAAAACAAATCTGCATTTTAATTATCAATTACAAAACTTTTGCCGTAGAAAACAATGGCGAAATACTCTAAAACAAAGTATGCTATTTCCACACAATTATTTAATTCGATTTTTTTCGAACCGAGTAATTTATTTTTATTTTATTCATTGTAACATGTAATTTCTTATATGTAAAAAAGACATTATTTTTGCTACTGAGAAGCATTTAACATTAACGGCCACCAACACTGTATTTTAAACGTGTTATCGCACGAGACCCCCATCGAACTTGAAGCGTCGCTATTTTAAAAGGGTATACATTTGTCGGAAAATTTTGTACTGAATCAAATTTTAAATTTTCCCATTTAAGCTGTAGAAAACATGGTATAGGATCTGGAGATACCGACAAAACAGTAGGGTATAACCTCACCACTTGTTCACGGAAGAACCCAAATAACAAATTAAGACAGATTCAGATAAAAGCAGTAACATATTGCTAAACCACCTGAATCACGAATATACTAGTATCTCGCCCGATGGTCTCGACACACACGAGATTTTCGTCAATGATGTGCCCATACATAATTGAGCTCGCTTTAAATGATTTAAACATGTTTGACCCCTAAGCCAACATTTTAAAGGCCACCAGTCTTTACACCTTTGGGGTTCGACCCATTTGAAACAACGGCGACAACAGGAGGATTTGTTGAAAACAAATTGCTAGCTAAACACCGAAAGAAAAAAATAATTCTAGGCGTTGCTGGAACAATTGAATGAAAATAAAAATGTGCATATTCTGCCAGCCACCCCTAATGGTTTCAAATGTTTGACCTCTTACGAGTTGGTATGGGCAGACCACTTGATGTAGTAAAGGAGCGTTGACCTGAAACATACCCAGGAACAGTTGGTGTGATTTGCCATGTATTTGTAAACAGTGCGTAAGCAGGGACAATAGCCGAACTCTGTCCCATAATGTTCTACCGTCTATAAAAAATAAAACGAGGGATATATTTACTAAACGTTTGTAGAACGTTACAGTGTGTAACCGTAAATCAGGAAATGCATTTTAAATAGCGTCACAATACTATAGGTTTACAGCACAAATAAATTGTTATGAAGTGGCGACATGATACGATTGGTTGACGCGACATCACGGTTGACAGTGCATGGAGAAAATAAGCAGATTTGATGTTTTTTTGTGAGATAAATGTCGCTACTGCGTATTTTCATGACCATCCGGTGATTGTGTAAAACACACAGTGAAATGACAGGACGACGCCATTGTGGCGACGTCAACACGTCGTTGTCGAATTAGATCATCACCGTTGAGAAACTGCGGGCAAGTGGTTGAAGTACGGCAAAACATTACCTGAGTATGACGTCATCACCACACCCACATTCCACACAGCTATACCGGTTGTCATCGTAATTTTAAAGCAAATATCAGTGGCGGGGGGGGGGGGGCGATCGCCTCCTTGAAAAAAAACAACATTTTGTGTCAGCCATAATTTGCGTTTCAGAGGGTCTAGATTTCAAAATTTTTAAAGAAGAGCAGATCTCGCCCCTCCATGCAAAATTCGTGCCGCCGCCTCTGAATATAAAATTAGATTTTGGATTATAATTATATACCACACTTTGATTTCGGGATTAAAATTACATACCATACTTGGGATTTGGGATTTAAAATACATAATCAAATAAATGACCGATTATAAAAAGGGTTTGTATCCATTATACGGTTATTTATATCAACTTATCGGCAATAAGTGGTAAATTACACACATTGATTGAAAACTGACAAATTCAAGGTGATCAAGGTAGTTTGTCATCTTTCATCCACGTATGAACGTACTACATGTATGTACGGTCACACATCGTTAGTGGCGGTAATTTAGTAACGCAGAATCAAAGGATATATGCAAGGCAGAATTTGATACGTCGGGACAACATGTCAACAAACAAGCTGTTCTCTGATTGGTCTGATTGATAGGTGTTATGGTTGGATAGCCAATCAGGCATTCTCTTGTAAGTAGCTTCGCATTGACAAAATACTCAGGTACAGCTAACCGAGAAAGGCGACACATCCAGCCGTTGATGGCGGTACAATAGGAATATAGAACCAGTTTTATTTACTCCCCCGTTCAAACCTTACCCACATTTCACAGACAACACGATGCAATTCAGTGAAGAATAAAACTCACTGCATTAATGTGGAAACATTGGAGATCACGTAGGCCGAAAAATGACATAAGTATACCAGATCACACAATGTCGTATCAAGTCACACAATGTCGTTAAATACATAAAGTATTAAAATCATGAAAAATCTAGATTTTTGCTTAACAGACATATAACAGCGTTGTAACTGACTACCTCTCTCGTATAAAGACTGAGTGTGGATTGGTGGTGCATCACGTGGTTATCCAACCCGAGCTCCACGATTTGTATCTTTTCAAACTTCTGACCAATCACATGTTATCTATAGATCCTATCCTGACGTCACAGTACACATGTCGTGATCCAAGGGTGAACCAAGCTTTTATTCGTCTCGTGGTAAGATGAGACTAACGCCTGAATTACTCTGTGCCTTCCACCACAGTGGCAACACAAGATCAGAGAATATCTACTCCGGACCCCAATACATCAACAACCACGTGTTTAGGCTTCCGACTATAATTTACCGCGTATTGCTTATTGCGTATTGCGTATTGCTTTTCACGGTTCCTATCTGCCAAGTTGCCCGATGCTTATTCAGATTGCGATTTCGCTGTCCCAGCCGTCCATGTCTGGACACAACTCTATTATAAACTCACTACATTTCTGGACGATTCTATGACGTCTCTGTACCGAATCCAGACATCATTCATTAGGAAGATATGTTATGTCAGTCTAGTATTACTCCACATTCAGGAAATGAAATCAATCTGCAAGATTCACAAATTGCTCAGATAGCCAATGCAGTCAAGAACGTTTTAGCCCTCCCTTTAAAGCCTGTATAGACAAACCTATAGACTGGAGGAACAACACAGTCCAGTCAGGTGGTGCCCTTCGAGTGAAAGGATGTGCCCCTGCTCTTGGCGCAACTAAGGCATTGCCGTAATCTTTATAAATATTTGCGTTTACCTTGAAATTAATTTCTACATAGTTCTACAGATTC